CACGTAGCTTCACACGTAGCTTCTCACGTAGCTTCTCACGTAGCTTCACACGTAGCTTCTCACGTAGCTTCTCACGTAGCTTCACACGTAGCTTCTCACGTAGCTTCTCACGTAGCTTCACACGTAGCTTCTCGCGTACACACACACACACACACACACACACACACACAGAGTATATATAACACCGCTAGATGGTGTTGATCTGGTAAACCGTATGGTTTTGACTGATTTTATAATGTAGGTAAATAAATATGAGTAGGTATTAAAGATACATTTTGGTATGCATTTTTTGCCTAATAACACGCAAACAAGCATTCCATATGACAACATTTTACACAACCTTCATATTTAACGCTGTTTGATTACTTTGCAATTGCATAGTTTTGAGCAGCAGGCGCTTCGTTCGTAGATTCATAGTTTCTCTCTTCATTTCTGGGAACTATGTGCACAACAACTGAATATGGCCTTGGATACAGACCAGAGAAACGGGGGAAAATCGGTATCAGGAATTAATATTTGATAACTCAGTGTATCCTTCTAAGCGAGGAGCGACTTTTAATTTGAAAAGAGGCGTTGCGGTGTTTTTCCGGAAGTGCTGCGAGTCAGCTGACAAGCGTAGTTTCGCTTCTGCGCGGTGGCGGTCAGCTGACAGATGTTTGCTGTCTCGGATCAAACACCTGCGCGATCAGAGCCGACCAGCGCGATGAGTGCTGGCGCCCCCCGATCTCTGGCCTCCTCCGGACAGAAGTCCATCCAGGACATCTGCCACCCTCTGTCCGCCGAGGAGAGCGCGCTGAACCCCGGCAGCGCTGCAGACACGGTGAGGTCCGGGCTGGGGCTGTTCGGGGCTGTTCGGGGCAACATCGCTCTCTAGCTAGGCAGCACTCAGGACCCATCAGCACGAGTGAAGCAGTGCTGACAGCGTGTCGCTATGTCTGAAATATTGTACTGGGTAAAAAACAAGTAGTGTGTTTGTCCAGCCACAAACATTTCGTCTATTTGCATCATAGTAATATGTTTTAGTAAATATCGTGGTATGGAAGTATGCAGTGTTACTACCTTGTTTATGAACGTGCATCGTGGTATTACCATGTTTTTGGATATGTACTATGGTAGGTTGTTTGAACATGCACCATGATTGTACCATGCGTTTTTAGTATTTATTTACCGTATTAATACCATCATTTATTGGCCATGCACTGTGTGTCAACTAAATACAATGATATATGATTATAGTAGTTATTTAGTATGATGGTACACATCAGGGGCCCATCATAGTATTTGTTTTTTTGTGTGGGTTGGAGTGCATTGTATAGATATTCAGATGAATGCGTTTTGTGTTAAATCTGATTTGGCTAAAGTGAAATGAAATGATTGTATGTGATCTCCCAGTTTCGAATTGTTGTGAACACTGATCAGTGTTGCACATATCGAGGTTTATTTATCAAATGCACAAAAATATATGCAGCAAAATATGTATGTATGCCTAGAAAATGAAAAAAATAAATAAAAGGAATAGTTCACCCCAAAATAAAAATCGCTGAAATTGTCCCCAGCTCATCCGAGATGTAGATGAGTTTGTTTCTTCATCAGATTTGGAGCACTGCATCACCGTCTCGCCAATGGAAGTGAATGGGTGCCGTCAGAATGAGAGTCCAAACAGCTGATAAAAACATCACAATAATCCACAAGTAATCCACACCTCTCCAGTCCATCAGTGAACATCTTGCAAGTTCTCCAAATCTGTTCTGATGAAGAAACAAATTAATCTATATCTTGGATGGCCTGATTTTCATCTCTAGGTGAACTATTCCTTTAAGACCTAAAGGAAAAGTAAATTAACCACACAGAATAAAAAAAAATGTATATGAGTGCTGCTTAACACATTGTGCGAAGTTGCTATTAGTAAATTCTAGTAAGAGTATTGAAATAGTAACCGCAGATGTGTGTTGTGCAGTGTGTGAGGTGTAAACTATGAGTCAGATATGTCTGGACAATAGAGCTGTGTTGAGCTTGGCACAGCTGACTGAGATGCTGCTAAATGAAGAGTTTGTTGTGTTTTACTCATGACGCAGAAGAGTTGTTTTTGTGCGCTGCTCATAAATGTATTGTTGTTGCAGTTGCACTGTGGCTTCCCTATTTGTTGGATATGATAATTGCTTGTAAATGCTGTGAATGCTTGTTTACTTCATAATATTAAAATGGCTTTTTTAATAATAATATTATAGGTCATTTTAATTCTATTTGTACTTCATTATTAGAGATAGTAAGGCTTTTTCTGTACTTGTTTATTCCGATGGCTAATTTTTAACCAGAAAGGTTTTTTTTAATTTTTGTATTATTATTATTGGACGTTTGCAATTCATTAAGATGCATCAGTGCAGTATTTGAACAAACCCAGAACCTTGGGCTTTCTTTGCTGATTTCTGCTAATAAGCAGAAACTCCCTTTGGGGTTGTTTTGTGTGACACATTAAACAGTTTAGAAAACTGTTTTTTTTATAGAGCAAATGAAATCATGGGATACACAGTGCCAGGTAACATTATGAGTAATGCTTATTTTCCTGGTAAAAAAGAAATAACTCACTATCATGCACGGTTTTGTGATAATTGCCTAATCTTGCCTAACCTGAGAGCGGGAACGAGACATCACAGAGACATTTCTCCATTATGGGAACTCCTTCCCTTCCAACCTTTCCTGAAGTCCTATTGGCTCACGCCAGTCCAAATGACTGTATGCAAATCACATGCAAATACTGACGCGCTCGAGAGGCAGTATAAAATGCGGTGCACGCGACAATTACGTCAGAATCTGATACTGAACGCTGCTTAGCTGATCGAGCAGCGAACACGGCGACCACCGTGATGTCTCGTTCCCGCTCTCAGGGAACCGAGGTTACGATAGTAACCGGAGACGTTCCCTCTCGAGTTTTCACGAGACATCACGGAGACATTTCTCCATTATGGGAACGATATTCAATCCCGCCGTGAGAGAGGCTAGGAGCAGCCTGTACAAGTCAGATACTCAGCGAAGATAGAACCCACAATTCCCACAACCAATAGCGATGCTTGCTAGGCGGGCTCGCAGCTGATAGGTGGAGACAAGCCAATGAGCGTCTAAAGCCAGGTATACTAAATTTGCATATCTGGTCAGTGATAACGTATGCTGCGCTGAGAAACAGGGCAGAAGCAACAACAACCACAGTATTGTGAGGGGGGGCTGCACAGAGATAACGGTGTTAAGCAGCAGTATAACACATAAGATGATGATGGTATACCAATCAAATTAGAAAGAACACACCAAGAAAACTTTTCTCCATAATGGGAACGATATTAAATCCCGCCGTGAGAGAGGCTAGGAGCAGCCTGTACAAGTCAGATACTCAGCGAAGATAGAACCCACAATTCCCACAACCAATAGCGATGCTTGCTAGGCGGGCTCGCAGCTGATAGGTGGAGACAAGCCAATGAGCGTCTAAAGCCCAGGCATATGAAATTTGCATATCTGGTCAGTGATAACCAGTGGTGGAGGTAACGAATTACAACTACTTACGTTACTGTAATTAAGTAGTTTTTTCGGGTACTTGTACTTTTTTGAGTATATTTTAAAGCTGTACTTTTACTTGTACTTAAGTACAAATTAAGCAAAATAATCTACTTCGTTACATTTAAATCATAGTTCGTTACTTAGTACGCCCACAATTTGAATTGATATTCAAACATTTGACGGCACTTCAGTAGCCAATAAAGATATCCGACCATAAATGGACCAATAACAGCCCTGATATCTGAACCGGGAAAAGCAGCGTCTAAAGCCAGGTATACTAAATTTGCATATCTGGTCAGTGATAACGTATGCTGCGCTGAGAAACAGGGCAGAAGCAACAACAACCACAGTATTGTGAGGGGGGGCTGCACAGAGATAACGGTGTTAAGCAGCAGTATAACACATAAGATGATGATGGTATACCAATCAAATTAGAAATTGAATAGCAGGAGCCGCACTGAGTACAGGGCAGACAACAGCAACAATAGCATATAGGGCTGCACAGAGTAATTACTGTGCGAGGCAGCAAACACGCATGAATAGAGGTAGCATAAATGTGAATCAGTCACCCATCGGCAGCACTGAGCGTCCAGCTTGTAAAACCTGGCGACGGTATTCTGAGAAGGTCAGCCGGCTGCAAAGCATATATCCTGAAGACATACCTCTCGACCACGACCAGGAGGAGGCGATAGCTCTTGTTGAGTGGGCCCTAATGTGCAAAGGACATTCGTATAACAGCCGTGTTACAATCCAGTGGGAAAGACTCCTTTTTGACACGTCAAGGCCCTTCGCACAACCACCGCAGCACACGAAAAGCTGGTCAGATTGCCAAAAGCTGGCCGAACGGTCAATGAAAATCCTCAAAGCCCTGACGGGGCACACCGAAGTCTGAGCGTCCACATCACGCGAGGTCGGTGACTCAGAAGACAGGGCAGACAGCGAAACAGTCTGCGCTCTGAAGGGGGTAGATAGTGATTTAGGCACGTAGCTCGGTCTCGGCCGGGGAGTGACGCTGCAGTCACCGTGTCCAAAGTGAATACAATCGCTGTCCACAGAAAATGCATGTAAATCCCCTATGTGCTTAGCCGAAGCGAGGGCAAGAAGAAGTGCAGTTTGAGAGATAGCTCCTTCATAGCAATGGATGCTAAAGGCTCGAATGGTGGTTGTGAAAGAGCTCTTAACACCACCTCTAGGTACCAGGGCGAAACTGAAGGGGAATGCAACCTCCTTGCCCCCTTGAGAACACTCACCACCAGCGCGTGCCTACCAATCGATTGCCCGCCCAGCGGGGAACGAAACGAGGCAATAGCGGCCAGTGTTAATGGTAGACATCCATTATCAAGCCTGTACTGTAGAAAACGCAGAACATCCGACACGGAGCAAGCAGCCGGGTCGATATGAACATCACGGCACCACAAACACTCCCCATTTTAGAGCATAGAAATGTCTCGTGGGGGGCGCCTGCGCCTCTGAGAGCGTATCAAGCACACGAGAATGCAGGGCGGTCAGCTCCTCTTGATATCCCAGAAGCAGCCACACATGATGACTCAATAACTCTGGGTTGGGGTGCCTCGTTTGAGACAGCAGATGTTTCCTGATGGGGATCGGCCAGGGCGGCGCCGCCAGCAGCTTTGTCCAGTCCGGGAAACCAAGGATGGTTCGGCCAGTTCGGCCAGTTCGGGGCGACGAGTGTCACCGAAGCCTCCTCCTCCCTGATCTTGCATATCACCAGCTGCATTATCTTGATCGGAGAAATGCATACGGCCTGGCTGCTGGCCAGTACGATGTCAGAGCGTCCCCTTCCAGCCGAGAATGAGACAAGGAGAAGAACAGCGGGCAGTGCGCATTCTCGCTCATGGCGAACAGATCCACCTCTGCTCTACCGTAGCGGGTCCAAATCATCCGAACTGACTCAGGATGCAGCCTCCACTCTCCTTGAGGAATCCCCTTCCTCAAAAGCATTTCTGCCCCACAGTTCAGGAGACCAGGGATGTGCGCTGCTCTGATGGAGAGAAAGTGACGGTCCGTCCATAGCAGGAGATTCGCTGCCTGCTTGTACCAAGCCTAGCCTTGGATCGTACACCCCCTTGGTGATTTATGTATGACACCACAGACGTTGTCGGTGCGAATCAGTACATGTCGCTGTTCCAGCTGTGGCCGAAAATCCTTTAGAGCTTCGAACACTGCTTCCAGCTCCAAACGGTTTATGTGCCACCGGCTCTGAGGTTCTGACCACAGCCCTGAAGCCGGCATGCCCTTGCACACTGCCCCCCA